TGATGCTGGCTTTTTGTTTGCCAATTGTTCTTATCGTTTGCCGTTGACTAATGAAAGCACGGAAGAGGAAGATGTTCTATTCCTAGTTCCATTTCAATTGACGGCGATAGCAAAGAAGTTTGAAATCAATTTAAGTAAGTTTGAAATTAACTTGAACTAATTTGGATAGGACACAGCTAATGGAGAGTGTAGAGTCACTCTGACGTCCTTTAACGGTGTGTTTAAAGTTTGTGACCATTGCGATCTTTCTAATAGATATTTTTGCTTTGATTAACTTCTCTTCAATAATCCGACCTGTCAAAAAATTAATTTTAGTGTATCTAATACCCAGGCCTATTAAGCAAGTTTCTTTTCAACACTCATTATGGAGGGAGTAGCTTTAATAAGGTTTTCTGATAAGAAGTAAGAATGCTAAACGTATTTTACTATGCAGATCATTACGGTTTGTCATTCTCCTCACTAGGTATACATCAACATGCCTCTAATCTATGACATCTGCTTCAAGCAAGCTTGTCATTTAAAAAAACTGAAAAGGCAATGTTTCCACCTGTTTATTAGACACCCTCATGTGTCCAGGTCGATATAGTAAAGCTTCAAGCAGCAGCACTTTTGTTTTGCCTCGAATGTTCAAATCCCACAGCCTGTCACTATGTCATCCATCTTTCTCTTCATCAACTTGACGTTTTGTTCTTCCAATAGCTTGATGTTTACTTCAGACACAAAGGATTATATCCGACTTAAGGTGTTTCCTATCTCAAAATGTCAATAATATGAAGTCAATCAGTACTCATATGCAAGACTGCTTTTAGTTAACAAGGTTTTTGAGTAAAATCAAGCTGTCCAATCCTTCTAATGTTTGAGTCAACTTTATCATTGCGATATCAAGCGGCAGAACATCACCTAGGAGTACTGAGGAGCCATACTGTAAAGTAAAGCACTACCTGATTGTTTTGGCTTTCTAAGGGCCTTTGATGAATTTCCCCTTTTACAGCCGGATATTTTGCTCTTTTATTACCCGTTCGTAGATTTGACTGTGTGCTTATTCAACCACCCGCGATAAAGCCATTTAAAAAATAAATAGAGGCCATTTAGCAATTTTGAAAACGCTCAGCTCAATTTTTTCCTTAAAACTGTGACTTTTGTACTAATACCTTATTAGTACCTCACAAATCTCTCTTATTATCTATTGTTACTTTGACATTTCATAATTTTTAGTGCTTTGGCTTATTTTTATATTAACAAATCTTTGCTTTGCGGAATATGCAGATTTTATTTACTTAATCATTTTTCTCCTATTGTTTATTCTATTCGTTGATATGTTTAGACACTTAACTGTGGCTAAGATATATGTCCATTTTCGATCGACAGTAATTTCAATCGTGTATTTTGATATGTTTACTGATTATATGTACTATTGTGGCTGAAAAACCATGATTGTGAAATTTGTAACCATTAACAGGATTAGACATTTCCTCGCTCCTTCTTATCTGGAAGTAATCCCAGTATCACTAATTGGTAGAAGAGAGGTGATGGTGTGGGGTGTTGTTTGCTGACTTTGTCAAACTAATTACAGACATGTCCTCGCTTCCGTTGAAATATTTTCTATTATTTCTTCAAAAGGGGTTTGGTGAAATGAGGCAGAATGGTGTGTGCTGCTTATTTTAGCCTCCTTAACGCGTACCACTCTCAATCTTTTAAACTTTATCAATTCTCTAACAAGAGCAATTTGATCTGAGAGCATTTAATCTATCTCTCTATTGAACTAACTTCCTAAACAGGATCATTTATCAAGTACTCTTAAAAGGAAAGCAATTATAAATTTCCGTTCAGTTACTTTACGAAAGACATGCGTCGAATTTTGCTAGAATTTGCACATATCTTTATCAATTACTAACTAGCAATTACCTCTTACTCTGGTTCTGTTGCATTAGCACATGATTGCACTTAAATCCAACTGGTTTTATGGCCTGACTTTTCCTTCGGAGCTTTGTTGAGTTTGCAATGCGTGAAGGTCATTAGCCTCATGGTTGATTAGACATTTGCCTACTATTAATCTATTTTACTTTAACACGTAGCATGGAATGGAGAAGGAAAATAGGAAGTCACGAATGTGAACTAGAGCCGTTAATCATATTTCTTCATTGACAAATATTTTTCTCGCAAACTTTAGAATGCCGAATAGATACCAAATTTACAGGTCCACCAAAGGGTACGCTGAATTTTATGTTTCATAAAGTACAGTTTGTAAACGTAATTTTATTCCTAATTTGGAAAATAATCTCCTTTCTCCAGGGGCTAGACGCATATTAAAAACCACGACAATTCAAGGTCAGTTATTGGTCTCAAGCGCGTTTTTATTGGCATTTCCTTAACCCCAAAATAACTATAAATAACCTGTCCAAGGTATGTAACTTTGCTTCGCTCTCAACTAATTGAAATATATTGCTGAAATTGTCCGTCAGCGATCAAGTTAAATGGAACGAATGCGGTTAAAATGTAGGAGAGAAGACGGCGTTGAGGATAGCTTACAGTACTGAGTGCGTGATTGAAGGAGGTGAGAGTGCGGGGATGGGGTGGGTTGGTGAGAATGCAACAGTCGTCATGTTTCAATCGAACACATTGAACATATGCAAAGAAAGTTCTTTTACTGCCGGGAATAGTAGGAACGAAGCGGTGTGCAGGTAAACTTGATCTGAGATTTGGTACCTCAAGGATATATGTCCGTAATTCTTTGTTTATATTCGTCAGAGGATTCGAAATATATTTTCTAAGAGAATATGGCTTGGAAATTATTTGGGAATGTGAATATAATGGATCTTTAGTCTCTTCTCATTCTCTAGGTAGTGAAAATGACAATAGGTACAGGCTGGGAATTTATCCAACTTAAATTTCGTCTTGTTCACGCCGTATATTACCCTCAGATATATATATAGGAGGCTTATATAGATAAAATAATTGAAACAATGGCATACACAGGAATGAATTTGAATGGAGAATTCAAGCAAGTTGACCATAACTCCAGGTACAACTGGTGGTTACTGGAAGATGGGAAGCAAGCAGACGTGACAAGAAGCCTGAAGGCTAACCGGTTGGCTGTGTGCTATTCCAGCGCATAACTGTTTTTATTCTGAAACGCTTCTTCCTTAATCCGCAACTTATTGAAACCTGACTGTGTTAATAGAAAAAAATATCATAGAGGTTTATAAACTGGATGGTTACGGCAGAATTGTTAGTCATCTCTTTCACAAACAGATCATCAGCAACGTACAGTAGTACTTAGAAGGGCTATCGTTTAAGTGATTTGAAGTTCTCTACGATAGATTTTGTTCTGGGATGAGTGTTGAAGTGGAGGAGTTAAAAATACCCGTTTTAGATAGTTACGCCTTTCTAGTAGTATTTCTTTTAAAGACATTCAGAGTTTTAAGTAAAAAAGTTTTTTGAAGGGCTGTTTAATTCTGGTATCTCGATGTTCTTCAGAATAGCGAATATGAGCTCATGTAATGTGTCATGGGCTGTTTTTCAAGAAGGTTATACGCTAGCTCAGTGACGCTTTTGACGTTAAACCAGTAAGGACTCATGCCAATTGCACCTACTGAATGTTCATTTTGTTCCCCTCCAAGTAGTGCGTCAAAGTCTTCATAAGGCTTGGAGTACTCAAGACGTTTGTTTTGAATATTGTTAGTTCTTGCATGGTCAGGAGTTTGTAAAAGCAGTAACTACCTTATACTAATGGCTCGCACAAGTCAACGACATCCTTATTGATATTTTTAGCGACAACTTGCTTCTGACGAGGACTGATACTTATATTAAGAATTGCACTCTAAAATTAGTCCTTAAATTATCAGTCATGGAAGGATTTCGGGGAAAAGTTAGTCAAGTTGTAGTACGTAAATATGTAGCTTAGATCTTGATATATGAGAAAACAAGAAACACAGAGTTGTTAAATTTATACGAAGGGTACAAATCACAATGCAATATTCAGCATCGATGGGCTCATTCACAGCTTATTTAGTGGTTGATAAAACTGAATGTTTGGCCGAATAACTGTGATCAAGTGGTGTCCACCACAGCATTGAAATGGCTTTTGAAAGTTATGAGGCTAAGTGGGATTGGCTCAATGGGATATTCAAGAATACATGAAGAGTTTTTTTAGTTCAATATCTCGTCCTGTGAATGAAATTATTGATCAGTGTGAACCTATAAGCAGGGCGATCGGTAGAAGATTAATGCAGTATTATCTTATAATACCGCCTTCTTGTTTCTGAACCATATAACGCCAGGCTAATCGTAACGTAGCTCGGAAGTTGAATGAATTCAAAATGTCATAATTTCGTTGATACATCATTTTTTCTAATCTGCCCCTCCCACTTAACGCAAGTAACAAAATCTCATTCACGCGCGCTTATGCCCTTGAGAATATCTGCTATCGGATTCGTTCTCTTCTTGTCATATTGGAAAGGGCACATGACACGAATCTTCTTCTTTATCTAAGCTGAAAGGTCAAACTAGGACACAAATTAATCGCGTTGGCAAAGTATTTAACAATGCATGTGACTACTGTGATTTTACTAGTTATTGCGCAGACAGATCCTCACATAAATTATTTGTTTTTCCAATGATTTATAGATTAATTTTTATTCACCCTTCAGCCGTTTATAATCTGTCTGTTCATGTCTCATCCTCCGATTCTTGTGTCACCTATTTACAAACGATATCTTCATGTCAAAATTGTAAAAAACTGTAATTTGAAACCCATTAGAAAATTAATTTGCGAAAAGTGGTCACAATTTTTTTTAATTTATCATTTTTAAGAAAAAGACAAGGCCGACTAAATATCCCATGAAATTTATGAAAGTTTACCCTTGACGCTTTTTCTTGCTCCATTGAAGACGCTCTCTGAAGCAAACAGCCAGAAAACGAACAACTTTGCCAGCCTAATATTTGCTTCCTTTATAGCAATAGCGCTAATATTAACCACTTGCGTTGTTTCGATTTCGTTAATGGAATGCTTATTGGTTTTTATTGTTATAGTTTTAGCAGTTGAATCTGACAGTGGAACAGACGTCGACCTTTGCATGGACGAACCTCCGGTAGAAGAAAAGCCAATTATTCCCTCGACTTCCTTCTTATCTTCCGGCTTTTCAACAACATCATCCATCAGTTCTACGACAGGGTTTTCAACCACCACAATCACTTCCACTACTTCTTCGGGTACGAAAAAGACGACCTCGTCGACTTCCTTGCCTTCTATTTCTTCCGTCTCTAGTACAGAATCGGATCCATCACTTAAATTCAGCGAAGATTCAGGCAAGGTGAATTCTAATTGTGGTACCGCCTCAGATAGACGATCATCTCCTCAAATTGATCTTGTAGATGATGCTATCTCTGAGACTGGTAAGAGGATAGTGCATGAGTTTTGCTTTAAACACTGCTAGCTGAAGACTCGACTGATAAAAAATAAAAAATGACTTTTAACCTGTTACCTTAATCAATGCCATCGCAAACCAAAATCTGCCTGCCTTTATCCAATGCAAAGACTGTGATAGTTAGTGCACTCATACGACTTTCCGGTTGGGACAAGTTTACCTTTTTTCCGAAATTAACAAAGATCCATAAAAAAAGATAAGTCATCTACAACGTATTGGCAGTGCGCGCAACGACTGGAGTAGAACATGTTTTAATTAGCACAACATTTGCATATTGAGATAAAATTGTTTAGGTAGACTTGCGGGAGGCCTGGAATTGAGTCTGTCATATGTCCTGATATTGAGAGCCTGGTCACCACAACAGACATTGAATGTTATAGCATATGCAAACAAATGGTATGGGTATTGACACAATGGGTATTAGCACGCATAAAGCGAAGTTATTTAGACAAACTGGTAAGCTGGAGGATTTCAGTCCACTCATTTCTCGAGTTTTCGTTATGAGTCGACTCAAGTCTTTCGTTTAATTTCTTTATTCCACTTTGAAGCAGTTTGAGTGTAAAAGAACGATATCATCCTATTTGACAATATTCAAGGACTGAGCCACTCTCATCTTTAGAGTTAAAGAATCACTATTTGATACAAGCTAGTAGGGTGTGATAATGATGCAGAGGGAAGTAGACTAGTGAACATTTTAGTACTAATTAAATTACGATTGGTGGTTGGTTTGACATATTTATTTATATTTATTTCAAATGGCAGGCGTTATGATAGGTATCAT